GAAGAATAATTTTGGTGAAATGTGCTTCGTTCTATCTCCTTTTATGAAGCATCCTCTTAATTGAGTTATGCATGCATCATTGTCTTCAAAGAGCACTGTGGGTACCTTGACATCACACTTCAAACCACATCTTTCTTTGATGAAATGTATCACTGATCTCAACCATACACATTCTCTACTTGCTTCATGAATGGCAAATATCTTAGCATGATTTGAAGAGGTAGCGACGATGGACTGCTTCGTAGATCGCCATGATAGAGCAGTACATCCGTATGTGAATAGATAGCCTGTTTGAGATCGAACTTTATGTGGGTCAGATAAATAACCTGCATCTGCATGACCAACAAGATCTGCACTATCTTTGTTAGTATAAAATAGATCCATATCACTAGTCCCCTTTAGATATCGCAATATATGTTTAACTCCATTCCAATGTCATCGTGTAGGGCTTGAACTATATCTTGCTAACAAATTAACAGAAAATGCTATGTCAAATCTCGTAGCATTAGCAAGATACATAAGTGCACCAATAGCACTAAAATAAGGTACTTTAGGATCAAGAGGTTCCTCCTTCTCTTCTTGAGGTCGGAACAGATCCTTACTCACTTCAAGTGATCGAACAACCATTGGAGTACATTTATTAACTCATTCTATTTTAATCTTTTGAGATTCAATCGTATCATCTACTCTTATCGGCTTAGTTTAATGACTTTCTACGGCTAAAATTAGCAAGTCATCAAATGGTGATTTTTTCAAAACTTCAAAATGCTGAAGGTTTCTACAACAACTACGAAGACTTCAAAATAGTCTTTGAAAATGACTTGAGGAGGAACAGGAAGAAACAAAAAGATTGCCATCATTTTTCATTTTTTTAGCAACACTTTTCCAAGAAAAAGAAAAATGGTACCTAAAGATGTAGACTTAACAATACTAATAATAGTAGTACTTGTTCATTCTTAATCATATGTTTTGGGTTCGAGTCTTTGTGAGTACGGAGTCTCTTTTGTTAGAATATTTAGTCGAGCTCTAATATGGGTACGGACATTGAATGAAGAAAATTAAAAAAGCTTTGGATGTTAATAAGGTGTATCTTGTGATGGTGCCATGCATTAAATTGCTTATTATTTTTATTGTTAAAGTTTCTATCATAACTCAACTTTTTTTTCTTCCTCATCCAATATTATCATGACCATTTCAATGCATAAGTCCTCCACAAATATGATTATCTCTTTAATTATATTATATGTAGTTGCTATAAACTGTTTCTAACTTCTCATTAAGTTATAAAATTAATTGGTCGTTGACCCAACTTCATAACTCAAATGTTTAAATTTTTACCACCATTTACGACTTGGTAATTGCGCTGAAGCTAATTCAAATTTTGTAATTAAGGGAACTTTTTAAGACTAATTCAAACAATCTTTTATCTATAAATAGGGATACCTCTCTTATCATATAATCACATAAACAAAGACAACAATAATACATTAGATTGTTTTAGAGTTTCTAATTAGTAATGGCTCTTAAGTCCTTTGCATTAATCATTGCCATATTGGCTGTGGTTACTTCAATAAGCCATGCATCTGATCCTAGTCCTTTACAAGATTTTTGTGTTGCTGTTAATGACTCCATGACTACTGGTAAATTTATTCATAATTTTAATTAACATTAGCTAGTTGGTTATTATGTATGTTCTAATTATAATTCCTTATTATGCAGTTTTCGTGAATGGAAAAGTATGCAAAGATCCAAAGGTTGTCACTGCTGATGACTTCTTCAAATCAGGCTTAAATGTACCTGGGAATACTTCAAATCAACTTGGATCTGTTGTGACTGCTGTGAATGTCAACAACTTGCCTGGACTCAACACTCTAGGCATTTCTTTAGCTCGTATTGATTTTGCACCGTACGGTCTCAACCCACCTCATACTCACCCTCGAGGAACTGAGGTTCTTACGGTCCTTGAGGGCACACTCTATGTTGGTTTTGTCCTTTCAAACCCGGGTCCAAACATGAAGAACAAGCTCTTTACCAAGATTCTACATCCTGGAGATGTGTTCGTTTTTCCAATAGGCCTTATTCATTTTCAGTTTAATGTGGGAAAGACTAAGGCCGTTGCATTTGCTGGACTCAGTAGCCAAAATCCAGGAGTCATCACCATTGCAAATGCAGTATTTGGCTCAGATCCACCTATCAATGATGATGTTCTTGCAAAAGCATTCCAAGTTGATAAGAAAGTTGTGGATTATCTCCAATCACAATTCTGGTGGGATAACAACTAAATTAGTATAAGCCAAACTATGGTGCTATAATTATTAAATTGCGTGGTTTTATTTGTAATCGTTTATAAACTTCAAGATTATCCAGTCATGTTGACTGATTTTACTTGATCTGTACTAAGCATGATATGTTATTATTTTATTATTATAATAAAATTACTTTTATTGTTTGTTGTTATAATAAAGAACACCGAGCCTTCCCTTAAGAACAAGAAGAATTTTAGTTCCTCTAGGATATCTATAAGGTGAATTGAGATCAAATCGCGCAAAATCAATACGAGCTAAAGAAATGTCAAAAATGTTAAGCTTGATAAATTGTTAATGTTCATGAGTCATGACAGGTACTGATGATTCAAATTCATTTGACGTATTTCCTAGCTTGTTTAGGCCTGATGTGAAGAAGTCATCAGCATTGACAAATTGTGGATTCTTGAAAAGATTTCAATTAACGAAAACTATATAATCAAAACAATTGTTAGACACCAAAGACAATAAAAAGCACGTATAGAATAAACATAACATAAATTTTGAAACACTTGAAATAAGTACGTTTAAAACGAATAAAACTTGAGTACTTTCTCTATCTCAAATTATCTATTGTGATTCTCTTTTACATGCCCTTGAAAAAATATTAATTAGGAGTTTTTATTTTTTATTTTTAAAAAAGAAACTTATTTTTATCCTTGATACTAATATACGTGTCCGCGCGTTGCGCGATAATTTAGAATGTAATAATTAATTAAAAATAACTAATAAAATATATGATGCACTTAATAATATATTTAATTTATTATTATAATAATATAATGATACAAATCATTAACTTATTTATTTAAGCACATTAGATTAATATTATTAGTATACAATTTATTATAATCATAACATTACCTTATAATTGAGGTATTTGTAGTATTGAAGAGAAAATAATTAATTTTATCTTAAACTTCTAAACAATAAATAATGTAAGATAATTTTTAAAAAGAGTATGACAGAGCATTTAATATGGAAGAAAACAATAATTAAGCATTTACCGGTTGCTCTAGAGTCATTAATAGGAGTTTAATGCAACACGAAAGTCCCTGGACTATGGTCAAATGCAGTGCTAGGTAATTAACAAACAATTTCAGGGCCAAAGTCATAATTAGCTAGATCTCTTCGTCTTAAGGTAAGTGTGGCTTTATAAAAAAAATTATTCTACAATAATTGTAAAACTAAAAATTTAAGACGAAATAATAATTTATATACATATTAAGAATTATTATCTCCATCCCATATAGTTATTCATCTAATTACTATAAATTAATAGTTGTTCCAAATCATTTGTCCATTTATCAAATCAAGACAAAATTAATTAAAAATTTCTCGTGTTAACCCTACAATTAATAGGAAAAATCTTTTTTGCCAGAATTTGGTCAGAATAATATTTTATCTATGTTATTTTACCTTTTTAAACATTTTTACCCTTTTAACTTTAATATCTTTTAATTATAAAATGAAAAAAAGATCAATTTGTTTTAAAATAAAAAATATATTATAACTTTTAAAAAAAATTGGCCAATTTTTTTTTGTCCATTTAGCACTTAATTAAGGTAGCTTCTTAATTACCAAGTCTTCTGATGATTAGTTAATAATAAACCCAAATCCTGAACCCTTCTTCAACAACTACAGAGACTGATTAATCCTCCCTGGGCCATTGGAAATGGTCAGTACTCACCACTCAGTATTAGGAAAAAATTAAAAGGACATTATCTTTTACTATTATAATTCCTCTTTATCTCATATTTCACTCTGCCAAATTGATATCTATAAATGATTCATCTGAATTCATAACTTTTGACACAGAGTAATAATAGATATATAATTATCTTTTTGATTAAATCTCAACAAATATTGAATTTGAACCTGAAAATCTTAGATGTTGAAACCATTAAAATTTAACTCTTAAATCTGTCTTTGTGACCACAATGCGATAATATCACCTATGTATTGAGTATTGACTCAACTTGTGAGTGTTTCTCTTAATTCCTACTACTAATAAAGTCAGATATCTCTATAATAGTCTCGTTTGTTTCAATATTATTACTTTTTAACTTTTATAGTAATTGATTTTAATACACCCATAACAATATTTAACATTTAAATATAATTTGGTTGTCCTAGGCAAAAATTATCTATTTTTTTAAGATAAAAATCACTTTAAAAATGATCAAGTTATATATTGGGCGGGCAAAGAATCAACCAAATACGTACAAAATGTTCCTATGACAAACACATAAAATTTTGGCTATCAATTTTTTAGCCATATTTGACGCTCCGAGTTATTTCTATGCTTGGAAAGCTTTTATCATAATTCATATCTCAACCCTAATCGTTTTTTTCCTCATCATTTTCATGACTGTCCCAATCGATTCGAGATTTTAATTGGTTTAATCCTTGATAAATATGATTAAGTATTTATAGTGGTTATAAACTGTTTGTACGTTCTCGAAAAATATGATTTAAGTCTTAAATTAGTCTTTACTATATAGTTGTTGATGAAAAATCACGACTCAAATGCTCAAATATTCACCATTTATGACTTGGTAAATTATTATTGTACACGTAGAAAACCTAATCCAAACGGTTTGTCTAGGAGAAGTTTATTTAATCAATTTGATGACTAATTCAAACATTTTTTTCATTTATAAATAGGCATGCCTCTCTTACCAAATTTCTCACACCAAACAAATTGTTACAATATATATTACATACATAAAGTTTCTAATTAGTGATGGCTCTTAAGTACTTTGTATTAATCATTGCCATATTGGCTGTGGTTACTTCAATAAGCCATGCATCTGATCCTAGTCCTTTACAAGACTTTTGTGTTGCTGTTAATGACTCTATGAATGCTGGTAATTAATTATTAAAACACATAATTTGATACTTAAGTTAATCATGGCTATTTTTTTTTTGTTATTTTCATTTTCTAATTGTGATTTCTATATGTAGTTTTCGTGAATGGAAAATTTTGCAAGAATCCAATGGATGTCACTGCTGATGACTTCTTCAGACCCGGACTGAACATGGCCGGAAATACTTCAAATCAACTTGGATCTGCTGTAACTGCAGTGAACGTCAATAACTTGGCAGGACTCAACACTTTGGGCATTTCTTTAGCTCGTATTGATTTTGCACCATACGGTCTCAACCCACCTCATACTCACCCTCGAGGAACTGAAGTTCTTGCCCTATTTGAGGGTACACTCTACGTTGGATTTGTCCTTTCGAACCCTGGTCCAAGTATGAAGAATAAGCTCTTTACCAAAATCCTACATCCCGGAGATGTGTTTGTTTTCCCAGTAGGTCTCATTCATTTTCAATTTAATGTGGGAAAGACTAATGCAGTTGCATTTGCTGGACTTAGTAGCCAAAATCCAGGAGTCATCACTATTGCGAATGCAGTATTTGGCTCAGATCCACCAATCAGTGATGATGTTCTTGCAAAAGCATTCCAAATTGACAAGAAAGTTGTCGATTATCTTCAATCACAATTCTGGTGGGACAACAACTAAATTAAATAATACTTTGATTTGGCGCTATATATTATGTGAGCTTATGTTTTGAATTTAAAAAATCATAAATAAATATCATGATCTAGTCTTATGGACTGGTTTCATTGATATATTTGTTATTGGATGTACTTAACGAGGATTTCTTTTCTTTTATAGTAAAATTATGTTTGCCGTTTATTGTGATATGTTAACTATGATTATAAACCGATTGAGATAAAATTTCTGTATACAACAAATTATTATAATTTTTTGCTATTCTTTTTTGGAAAAGAGTCATAAAGAATGTTCTTAAAACTATATGAAATTAAATAAAAGATGCTCTCAGTTGATAATTTGATCTATATATTCGTCATCAATAATTTGGCCTAAAAAAATTAATCCATTACTATTAGAGGAACTCACTCAAGCCAGCCGCCACGTAAACTCCATAAAGGATTAATTAAAGGAGGCAGTTGTACTCAATTGTGAAGTATGCCAATAAAAAAGAATAAAAGATTTGATTCAAACGCGTCAATGAAGTAATATATAAAGATTAATAAAGGGGTGCACTCAAGTTTATTACTACGAAGAAAAAAAATTATTATAAACTCACGCAACAAATATTAATTATGTAACATAAAAAATAAGCACAATTTTTATTTATCCAAAAATATAAAATTTTGGTTCTGTTATGAAATAAATAACTTAACAAAACTAAAGTAAAAAGGAATAACAATAGAGAGAGTACTTGAACATAAATAAAGAGAGAGAATAAGGTTGGAATTTTTGTGTCTTTTGTTATATACATTTGATGCCTATTTATAGGCCAAGGACATGTGGCAATTTGTGGCTTGCAAAGTTAACCACATTTTGGCATGAGCGAAACATTTCTACCATGCTAGCTCCACATGGCATCCACAATTTTACAACACTCCCCCTTGAATGTTCGTGTAAAAGAAAAGTTGAAAGAACAAAAATATACATAGACATTCATAATACGTATTAATTACTTGCTGCCTCATTAAAAACTTTTCTAGGAAAACTCAGTGGGACAAAACCTAGACTAAGAAAAAAAAAGTGCAGCGCATATTTTATTCCCCATGATGAAGACCACGATTTAGATGGTTAAGTTTTTGCAATCCAATCTTGTGTACCATCTTCTCAAGAGTTGAGGCTGGTAAAGACTTAGTGAATAAATCTGTTGGATTATCACTTGAGCAAATTTGTTGTATATCAATATCACCGTTCTTCTGAAGATAATGAATGAAGAATAATTTTGGTGAAATGTGCTTCGTTCTATCTCCTTTTATGAAGCATCCTCTTAATTGAGTTATGCATGCATCATTGTCTTCAAAGAGCACTGTGGGTACCTTGACATCACACTTCAAACCACATCTTTCTTTGATGAAATGTATCACTGATCTCAACCATACACATTCTCTACTTGCTTCATGAATGGCAAATATCTTAGCATGATTTGAAGAGGTAGCGACGATGGACTGCTTCGTAGATCGCCATGATAGAGCAGTACATCCGTATGTGAATAGATAGCCTGTTTGAGATCGAACTTTATGTGGGTCAGATAAATAACCTGCATCTGCATGACCAACAAGATCTGCACTATCTTTGTTAGTATAAAATAGATCCATATCACTAGTCCCCTTTAGATATCGCAATATATGTTTAACTCCATTCCAATGTCATCGTGTAGGGCTTGAACTATATCTTGCTAACAAATTAACAGAAAATGCTATGTCAAATCTCGTAGCATTAGCAAGATACATAAGTGCACCAATAGCACTAAAATAAGGTACTTTAGGATCAAGAGGTTCCTCCTTCTCTTCTTGAGGTCGGAACAGATCCTTACTCACTTCAAGTGATCGAACAACCATTGGAGTACATTTATTAACTCATTCTATTTTAATCTTTTGAGATTCAATCGTATCATCTACTCTTATCGGCTTAGTTTAATGACTTTCTACGGCTAAAATTAGCAAGTCATCAAATGGTGATTTTTTCAAAACTTCAAAATGCTGAAGGTTTCTACAACAACTACGAAGACTTCAAAATAGTCTTTGAAAATGACTTGAGGAGGAACAGGAAGAAACAAAAAGATTGCCATCATTTTTCATTTTTTTAGCAACACTTTTCCAAGAAAAAGAAAAATGGTACCTAAAGATGTAGACTTAACAATACTAATAATAGTAGTACTTGTTCATTCTTAATCATATGTTTTGGGTTCGAGTCTTTGTGAGTACGGAGTCTCTTTTGTTAGAATATTTAGTCGAGCTCTAATATGGGTACGGACATTGAATGAAGAAAATTAAAAAAGCTTTGGATGTTAATAAGGTGTATCTTGTGATGGTGCCATGCATTAAATTGCTTATTATTTTTATTGTTAAAGTTTCTATCATAACTCAACTTTTTTTTTCTTCCTCATCCAATATTATCATGACCATTTCAATGCATAAGTCCTCCACAAATATGATTATCTCTTTAATTATATTATATGTAGTTGCTATAAACTGTTTCTAACTTCTCATTAAGTTATAAAATTAATTGGTCGTTGACCCAACTTCATAACTCAAATGTTTAAATTTTTACCACCATTTACGACTTGGTAATTGCGCTGAAGCTAATTCAAATTTTGTAATTAAGGGAACTTTTTAAGACTAATTCAAACAATCTTTTATCTATAAATAGGGATACCTCTCTTATCATATTAATCACATAAACAAAGACAACAATAATACATTAGATTGTTTTAGAGTTTCTAATTAGTAATGGCTCTTAAGTCCTTTGCATTAATCATTGCCATATTGGCTGTGGTTACTTCAATAAGCCATGCATCTGATCCTAGTCCTTTACAAGATTTTTGTGTTGCTGTTAATGACTCCATGACTACTGGTAAATTTATTCATAATTTTAATTAACATTAGCTAGTTGGGTTATTATGTATGTTCTAATTATAATTCCTTATTATGCAGTTTTCGTGAATGGAAAAGTATGCAAAGATCCAAAGGTTGTCACTGCTGATGACTTCTTCAAATCAGGCTTAAATGTACCTGGGAATACTTCAAATCAACTTGGATCTGTTGTGACTGCTGTGAATGTCAACAACTTGCCTGGACTCAACACTCTAGGCATTTCTTTAGCTCGTATTGATTTTGCACCGTACGGTCTCAACCCACCTCATACTCACCCTCGAGGAACTGAAGTTCTTGCCCTCTTTGAGGGTACACTCTACGTTGGATTTGTCCTTTCAAACCCGGGTCCAAATATGAAGAATAAGCTCTTTACCAAAATCCTACATCCTGGAGATGTGTTTGTTTTCCCGGTAGGTCTCATTCATTTTCAATTTAATGTGGGAAAGACTAATGCAGTTGCATTTGCTGGACTTAGTAGCCAAAATCCAGGAGTCATCACTATTGCGAATGCAGTATTTTGCTCAGATCCACCAATCAGTGATGATGTTCTTGCAAAAGCATTCCAAGTTGACAAGAAAGTTGTCGATTATCTTCAATCACAATTCTGGTGGGACAACAACTAAATTAAATAATACTTTGATTTGGCGCTATATATTATGTGTGCTTATGTTTTGAATTTAAAAAATCATAAATAAATATCATGATCTAGTCTTATGGACTGGTTTCATTGGTATATTTGTTATTGGATGTACTAAACGAGCATTTCTTTTATAGTAAAATTATGTTTACCGTTTATTGTGATATGTTAACTATGATTATAAACCGATTGAGATATAATTTCTGTATACAACAAATTATTATAATTATTTGCTATTCTTTTTTGGAAAAGAGTCATAAAGAATGTCCTTGAAACTAAACAAAAGATGCTCTCAGTTGATAATTTGATTTATATCTTCGACGTTAATAATTTGATCTTAAAAAATTAATTCATTACTATTAGAGGAATTCACTCAAACGAGCCGCCACGTAAACTCCATAAATGATTAATTAAAGGAGGCAGTTGTACTCAATTGTGAAGTATGCCAATCAAAAAGAAAAAAAAAAGTAAAGATTTGATTCAAAACGCGTCAATGAAATAATATAAAGATTAATATAGGGGTTGCACTCAAGTTTATTACTGCGAAGAAAAAAATTATTATACAACTGACACAACAAATATTAATTATGTAACATAAAATATGAACATAAATTTTATTTATCCAAAAATATAAAATTCTTTTGCAAGATTGTGGTGGTAAATGGGTGGGTTGGATAAAATTTGAGCGGGTTGAAAATGGGTCAACATAAAATGGGTAATAATTCAACCCACCCATATTTGATATGGATAAAAATAGATTGGGTAAGAAATGAGTTGGGTTAAATACTAGTTTACCCATATTTACCCGCATTTTCATGAGTAAGTAGTACTCTACTTAAGAATTCAACACGTAGAAAATATTTCAGTCTTTTTTTAGATGGAAAATGTTGAAAATGCTTCATTTAGTTTTATTGTATCATAAAAGTAAAAAAAAAAAAATCCTATAACTTTTCAATATAAAATAAAATTATGTAATAACAAGGGGAAAATACTTTTAATTTCTAAGCAAATGAATATTTGCATTTTAGGACTAAAACATGCTTAATGCACTTTAAGCAATGTCAATACTAATACATGATTTGCTTATTTTACACTATGTATTTATTATCCAATATAAAATTAAATAAATAAATAAAATGTAATTATAAGTAACAAAATAAATGTACATTTAAAATATATATTTTTGGAGGGCCAAAGACTTCACATTTTTCAATTATAGTGAAAAATAATTAGTTCTATAGAAGAACATAAAAAGCAAGAGAAATTATAATTTTTTAGTAATATCATGAATTTATAGTAAATAAAAATTAAAAGTTTAACCCATTTGATTAATCCATATTTTACCCATATTTTTATGAATTGACTATGGGTATCAAACCATAATTTACCCATGTAAAAAAATACTCACCAACCCATTAAAATATAGGCGGATTACCAAATGTCCTATAAATAAAGTTTTTCCAACTTTCACTGTGTGAAAATAATCTGTTTTAAAAATATTTTACATGGGTTGACTTGGGGAAGATAAGCGCTGTGCATCTTCGTTTGAATTTCCGATGGGGTTCTTCTTGTGCAGTGCTTCGCCTGTGCATAATAACCATCCAAGAATTCAATTACTTAAGCTTAATCCTGGTTGAT